CACACTTTTATCCAAAGCGACTTACATACTCAATACTGTGGACAATCACCGCAGGAGCAATTTGGGGTGAAGTGTCTTTCCCAGGGACACAACAACATGCTGACTGCAGTGGGGTTTGAACCTGTGCCCCCTGATCCGAACACCAACGCACAACCCACTGCGTCACACAACATGACATTTCACAATGATAGCTATGTTAATGTATTTATAAAAAGAAAGTGAACATAGTTCCATATATGTCAAGGTGAAGAAGATAGCACATCCTGAGGCACAACCAAGCAGTTAAGACTAATGAACAGTTGTGTCACTCATGGATTCAATTAAACAATGTCAACACAACCTTTACATGCATAAATACAGAGAAGGTTAAAGTGGGCCTCCCCAGGGGGGAATCCAAACTGTTTTAGGGGAAGCAGTGAATGGAAGTTTGTTCAGGGATATACGGAGTGTTTACTGTTTTCCTGGTACCCTAGCGTCAGAAACAAATAGTCTGAAGTTATGTTAAACAGCACATTCGGCTTTCCTAGCTTGATTTGTCTATTGGATCAATAGACAAGGGATGTCCACAGTCACAGACTTGTAAACCCCCTTGCTGTTGAGTGTGCTCTTACCTGTCATCAAACTCTCTTCCACAGCTCCCTGTCTCCCAGAAGATGTCTCAGCCGGGTTAAAGTGTGATACCAACGTGATGAATGTGAGTTGGGCACAGACCCCCGGCTCAGATGATTACACCGCCTGGGCCATCAGCCCCGATGGACACAGAGCCTCCTGTAACTCAACCTCCAACTTCTGCTCCATTCATGACCTGCTGTGTGGAAAGCTCTACGAGGTGGCCGTCACCTCCTCCTCCATTCACTGCGAAATCATAGCTGGATCTGACTACAAGGTTCAGTCTGGTCAGTGTAGCACATTGACACCCATAACTGACATTATGTTTGCTGAAGATATATGATTTTAAAGGAAATGTTCCTCTTTGTTCAACCACCTCTAGCTCCGTGTAAACCTGAGAACACCACTGTCGAGAACTGTAGCAGCAACGTCATGACAGTGAAGTGGAACGAGCGCAGCAGCACAACACAGAACTACACTGTTAAAGCCATGTCTGCATCAGGTGTAAACTCCACCTGCGACTCCACTGAGAGCCGCTGCTCCTTCCTGAACCTGACCTGTGGTCAGCTCTACACGTTCACTGTGATGGGACACACCAATGTGTGCATGAGCGAGATGAGCACTCCTATAGAGAAGCTCTCAGGTACGCTGAAGATTTCTTAGAGTAACAGTTTGTTTTACACTTAAGCTTTTATATGAATTAAACAAACAGGATATGTTCTAGGGAATCTATATGCAGCTAACTGTTTTTATTAGTGTATTATCAACTTTTAAGTATTTTCATGTTTTTGTTAGCTCATTTAAATGCAATAAAACAAATAAGCATATTTCCCAAAATGTTAAAGTATTCCATATTTAATTAAAGTTTAAGTGTTTCCACTCATCTTTATTCTTCTCAACTGTGTCTTTCTTCTTTTCTAGCCCCATGCCCTCCCACCAATGTGTCAGCTGAACTGAATTGTACTACACTTAACGCTGTGGTTAGCTGGAGTAGCGCGTCTGCAGCCACAGCCTACAGCGTTCAAGCGACCTCCTTAAATGGACACAACTCCTCCTGCAGTGAGATGGGCACGTCCTGTGACCTCAGCGACCTGGTCTGTGGACAGCATTACTCTGTTGTAGTGGAGGCCATGCACACAGGCTGCTCTGGCCCTGCCAGCACCCCGGCCTGGCTGGTTACAGGTGAGCTCAACTTAAACTGGAACTGTTGATACTTTAACACAGACCCAAACCTAAAAGAGTGACATTAACCCAATTAGCACACCAATTGCCCTGGAAAAATATGTGAATATTATATCAGGACAGTTTAGGGGTGACGCAGCTAAGACCAGTGTTGACAATAGCTGTGACATTTAAACTACTTTTTATATAGCAAATAGAATCATTTTAGTTCTTCTTGTTCAAATGTTCTTTAAGCATAGTGGTAAAAACTAATATAAGTCATCATGACTCGCCCATGTTGGGACTTATACAGTACTAGCACCTAATGGCCACATTTTCAAGTCGGCCCTTGTCTGCAATTTTTTAATGTTGAATCAGTGGGAGAGCCTGATTTAGTTTAAGCAAATCAGTGCAAGTGAACAATAATGACCACAATCTTTAATGACTTTATGTCTGAACAAACCACTATGTTCTCCATTTACTGTATCACTAACATCTTTGTCTTTTCCCCAGAGCCCTGTGTCCCCATGAATCTCTCCGTCCACTACAATGTGAGCACGGCCCAGGTGATGTGGGCGGCAGCACGAGGTGCCAGCTCATACTCCGTCCAGGCTGTGGCTGACCTGGGCTCGGGCGTCACCTGTAACACCACCAACACCACCTGCTCCATCGATGGTCTGCAGTGTGGTCAGATCTACAACGTCACTGTGATGGCACACAACCTGGCCTGCAACAGCACTTCTGAACCCTACCACCACATGACAGGTTCGTCATCAGATTCGAAAGAATATTCCTTTAGATGCAGATATGGCTCTTAATGTGTTTTTCCAACTCATGTAAATGTGTGTGTCTTCTTCCTACTCAGAACCCTGCCCACCCACCAACGTGCAAGTCAGTATGGCGTGTGAACAACTCACTGCGTCTGTTTCCTGGCATAAGAGTGACCTCGCTGTGGGTTATGTTGCCTTCTTTGACAACCAAGGTGGCCACTTAGATTCCTGTTATGGCACAGACACAAGTACCCAATGTGTTGTCTCAAGGCTGATGTGTGGAACAGAGTACAACGTCTGGGTCAAGGCACTGGGTCAGCAGTACAACAGCTCTGACAGCACAGTGGTCTCGCTTACATCAGGTAAACACATACTCAGCATGCAGTTTCGCTTCTATTTGTTTCTTTGGGTGTCAATTCATACATACTGATGTGTTCCTCAGCTCCATGTCTGCCCAGAGAGGTAGAGATAGAGGTGGACTGTATTCATGATGGCGCTGCCGTTGTGTCCTGGAATGCTACTTATGGCGCAGCAAACTTTTCCCTGACAGCCATGGTCAGTGGAAGTCTTCTGTCACTGTGTGAAACTCAGCAGAACAGCTGTAACGTGACGGGTTTAAGTTGTGGAGAAACCTACAACCTCAGCTTCACCGCCAGCAACGAACAGTGCAGCCTCAGTGCGCCGATGCACGCTAACCTCACAACGCGTGAGTTTTACAGCAAATCCTCATAAGTGGCGAATATGAACCAAGGTTTAATTTCTTCAAAATATAACCTATGTTCACATCTTTTTGTAGGTCCTTGTCCTCCTCAGGGTGTAGATGTGTCCCTGCAGTGTGGCTCCCACACCGCAGTCCTGTCCTGGGAGGAGAGGTCTGATGTTGAGCTGTACGTAGCTAACGCCATCAAGACATCAGGAGGGCCGGTGCAGACGTGTAACTCTACAGGCTCTACGTGTCAGTTTGCCAGTCTGGACTGTGGAGAGACGTACAACTTTACCGTAACAGCAGACAGTCAAGGCTGCAGGAGCCAGGCCAGCAGCACCGTGTCCATCCAAACAGGTACTGAAGAAGCTTAGTTACTTCTGCCCGTTTCAGTGGTCAAAAGTAACTAAATACTCTTTAACCAAGTTCTTCATTCAAGTAACATTTTTAAGATTATTCTACATCAATTGGGTATTTCCATTGTCTGCTGTTACTCTTCTACTTCAACACATTGCATCTATAGCAGATATTGTACTTTTTACTCCCATTTATTTTTATTTTGATAGCTATGGTTATATGGCAGATTTTATGTGACCATTTAAAAAAATAGATGCACTGTTTGTTTGAGTGATTAAATTAACAAACATATAAAGAGGTTACATTTAGCTTCATCTGCACCAGGTGCTATATTCAAATGTTGCTTACTTATTAAGCCATTAGAAATAACAAAACACTAATTTAATGTACAAAATACTCTAAGGCTCTGAATGCAATTATTTTGTCATTTAACAATAAATCATTTTGTCTATAAGATGTCAATGTTTATGATAAACAAAGACAAATATCAAAATTGGTGCTGATTAATTGTGTGCCCAACTCCTAATCGATTAATTAACTTAATATTTCATCATATAGGAATTTCTACTTTTACTGAAGGATCTAGTACTTTATTTGTTTCTGGTAAATCATCTTAATTTTTCTCTCTCTCTTTATTTATTATGCTCTCCTCAGAGCCTTGCCAGCCTGTGATTGTTTCCGATCAGGTGCTCTGTCAGAGTGAGCAGGTCCAGATCTCCTGGTACCAAGCAAGTGGTGTCGTGAATTACTTAGTAACGACTACTGGGAGCCTTGGATACGTGAAGATCCACAACGCAACCCAGAGTATTCCAGCAGCTACTTTACCATGCGGACAGGACTACAATGTGACTGTACAAGCAAAAGGCAGTGACTGTGACAGCATCCCCAGCAGCCCCGCCTTCTTCAAAACTGGTATAATCTAATATCTGAGACAACAATTCACAATGCATAACTTCTGTCACAAGCTTGTGTTTAGTTGAGTTCTCCACCTTCCTCTCTCTCTCCCAGCACCATGCCCCCCCAGCGATGTGACGACCTATGCACAGTGTGAGTTTAACATGGGCTCAGTCAGCTGGGGGTCCAGTGATGGCGCTGAAACATATGTTGCTGTAGCAACTGGGCTTGATGGCCACGCCCACCAGTGTCTCACCAACAGCACCGACTGCAGCTGGAACGACCTGCAGTGTGGAGAGGAGTACACTGTTGTAGTGAGGGCAAAGAATGGCAACTGCACAAGCCTGCCTAGCAACAGCTCCATAATCTATATGGGTACGTCGTCTAAAGTTTGTTAAGATTTCCTCTTTTCATTTGGTATCAATAAAATGAAAAATGTAGACAGTGTTTATCACACCTCTAAGGAATTCATTTTAAATAATTTGGTTGTTTATTTAACCCAAGCTTTAAGTCAGTGAAGCAAAAAAAAGGGATTATTCATCTTCATATTCAGCATCAAGCTTTCAATCAGAAATGAAAGACAAATTAATATTTGCTTGGATTTAAACTATAATTTCCTTAAAGGACATTCCTACAACATTTTCCATGTTGTAAGTAAAAACTTAAATTGTTCTCAAAAGAAATGTAGGAAAATATAAGAAAGTAACAGACCCACATGATAAAACGTTATCATTAAATGTGCATTGCAATTGAAGTTGGTGTACTAAAACATAGATGTGGTTGAATAATGCTGTTAATACGTCACTCATCTTTGTTTTTTCCAGATTCCTGTGTGCCCCAGAACTTGGCTGCCACTGTGAATTGTGATATGAGAGTGGTCTCACTGAGCTGGGATGGCAGTAACGGGACAAATGTGTATATGGTATCAGGCGAGGCAGGAAACGAAACAACTGTTCTCACCACTAATGTCACCACGGCCCACTTCTCTGGCTTTAGCTGCGGACTAAACTACAGCCTCACAGTCACACCTCAAAACCAGCACTGTCCTGGAAACTCCAGTGCATCGGCTTCCATACAGACATGTATGTTCACGAAATACACTTTCACATTCAAAGAGATAAGATTAAACACTAAATATAATAAGAGTGTGCTGAAACAGGTCAAACATGTATAGTATTTGTTTTTCCCAGGGCCGTGTCCACCTGTAGGAGTCTCCACCAGGCAGGACTGTCTCTCTGGCATCGTCATGGTAATGTGGCAGGCAACTAATGGGTCCGACTACTACACAGCGGCAATGCAGACTGACACTGGCATCTCCCCCATGTGCATGTCCGACTCTAATGGATGCAGCGTCCCGGGACTCACCTGCGGGCAAAACTTCTCCGTGTCAGTCACAGCCTCCAACCAGCAGTGTAACATCACCTCCAGTCACACCACCAGTCTGCAGTCAGGTGGGGGTTTAAAAAGGCTTTTGGTTACATAATGCTTTATCTTTGTTGTTATCAACAGTTGGTTGTATACTTTTTTTTTTTTTACATGACCGATCTTAATTCAAGGGATGATGCAAAAGGTCACAAACCAAAATGACATATAACATTGTTCTTTTAGGGGTCTTAGTGAGCAAGGAAATGTCTGTATGCTTTTATGAGGATTTTCCAGCAAGGCTTTTACACTCTTTCGATATGAGGGTAGTGTTTTCCCTAAATTAAATTGTTTCAACAAAACTTTGACAAGTTATATTTAAGATAATAACACAAGATAATATTGCAGAATATGGCAATATGTATATGGTGTAGACAATATGATATTTTTTCCAAGTATTTATCATAATATATACTGCATATACATGGATATATAGGTTAAAAAAAATGACATTCTGCAATTATACTTGGAAAAATTGCATGCATTTGATTAAATGACTATATGTAAGTTTTGTTCTATATGTTTGCACTCATATGTGTCAACATTAGTTTTTAAGAGTTGGAATGACTACTCTTTTAGAATAACTGTACCTCTGCTTATCCTTATGATGATCTACGATGTATCAATGTTATACGCATGAATACATTAGGTATTGTTGAAATTCAAATTCAACGTCATGACGTTTTACCCATCATGCTGTTTCCTTCCCTCTTCCTGCAGTGCCATGTGTTCCCACTAATGTCTCTGTGGTGATGGACTGTGATAACAACACAGCTGTTGTGTCCTGGACCGCCAGTCAGGGGGCTGTACAGTACTCATTGATGGCCCACAGTAGTCATAACAACGTCAGCTGTCAAACCTCTAGCCTCAACTGTAGCCTTGACAACATCACCTGTGGCAACAGCTACTCTGTTCAGGTGGTTGCTATGGATGACAACTGCTCCAGTATCCCCAGCCAGGCTCTGATATTCAACTCAGGTGAGACAGACAACACCAGTAATACACTCAACACAGGGAGGTGGAAGAGGTACTCAGATCTTTTAATTAAGTAAAAGTAGAACTACCACGGTGTGCTCTGTAACAAGTAATAGTCCTGCATTCAAAAGGTTACTCAAATAAAAGTACAAAAGTATTAGCATCAAAATATACTTAAAATACCAGAAGTAAAAGTACTCATTGTGCAGATTGGCCCATTTCAGAATAATGTGTTTTGATTATAATTATTAATGTAATATTGATGTGTTTATGATATCTGGTAATGGTGGGACTAATTTTAATTACTTAATTTGCTGCTGGGTAGAATGTGAATTTACTTGATTATATTTCACAACATAAATCTAAATATGCAAAGTCACTAAAGATATTAAATAAATGAAGTGGAGTAAACAAGTACACGATTAACCGCTGAATTGTAGTGGAGTATAAGTACAAAGTAGCAAAAAAATGAAGTGAAACTTGATCAAATGTACTTAATTACTTCCCAACTCTGATAGTAATACAACCTGCATTTAGTGCACTGCATACTTTTTATGTGTATTGAGTGTACCTCTAAACAGTTTACCTTAGTACAAATGATGGATCATGGAAAATGGAAAACTCAAAGACAAATTATGTCCCCATCCATGAGTTACTCACCCCCAGAAGTCTGGTTCATTCGGTCCTTATCAACCTGAATGGCGGCTCCTCACCTGTCCATGGACAATGAGGGAAGTGTCTCCTCCCTCGTAAACGTTCATCTGGGCTGTCCTTGGCCGCTCAGTGCGATACTTTGTTGTCGTCCGTTGTTGGGGCTGCTGAAGATGTGCTATCCAACAGGATGCTAGCGAAAAGGTTAGCAACACAGCTAACTAAGCCAGGTAGCCTACGCTAGTTTAGCGCTAGCTGTTTACTTAGCCGAAACTCAAGCTCAACTAAACTTGTTGGTGATTTGTGCTCATGTTGCGACTGAACCATACAGATATTTAAAAATGCAATTGTAATAAGTGTTCAGTTTGCTGAGCTGTCATTATCTCGTAAAAAATCATGGCTATAAAAACCTACACACCTGCCAATCAAAATTCACTTTTACTGTTTTGCGTACCTTGCGCAGGACTACGCATGCGTCAACATTGTGCATGCGAACTTCTGCCCCAAAGTTGACGCATGCTTTTATTATTTTGCCTTGGAAAAAAAGTGTCGTTCCTGTGCACTCCTGTCAATTTTACACATTAAATTAAGGAAGTTTAAGTCTTCACAGACAGGGAAGCACTAACTAAAACGATCTGATTGCATCCTCCTCTGTCTTTGTTCACCTGCCTCCCAGATATTCAGTAACTCACTGACTATTAGGAATTTTAGAATAAAACCAAAAACAATATTGGATGAAAAATTAAGCAAACTAGGTTTTATCACCTAAAAACTATACTTGAAGAAATATGAAAGTTGTCTCACGCACATAAAACAAGTTATTGTTGATACAGACATTTAAACACTGTTACATGTGACTAATCACAAACAAGGTGATACTAGCCTAGGGTTGGTTAACAAACTAAATTAACACAGTTTTATTAACACATGTTTTTACTTTTGTGCCGTTTACAACACACATTTCTAACTTTGAAATCTCTACTTATTCCCAGCGCCCTGCCCTCCTCAGAACGTGAGTGCTGAGGTTGACTGTTTGTCAAACGACCTGATGATTTCTTGGGATGCCGTCAGAGAAGCAGACCACTTTTTGACATCAGTAACTGCAGACAATGGAGTAACCATCGGTGGCTGTAATACCACAAACACTGCATGTTCCATCAGAAATATGACATGTGGGAAAACATTCAGTGTTCATGTCACCTCCATCAGAGGTGCCTGCAGAAGCCAGCAGAGTCAGGCCTACAGTATCATGTCAGGTAAGCAAGCTTCTACAGCCATTCATCCTTGCATAAACATATCCTTTCTGTCACCAAAGTAAATGTTATGTCATTTTTACTTTCCAGCTCCCTGCCAGCCTGAAAGAATTAGTGGCAGGCTCGATTGTGTGACAAATTCTGCCTGGATATCATGGAACGCTGCTCCAGGGGCAGACAGCTATGCTGTGTCAGCTGTAGGTGAAGACAACTATATAGGCAACTGCACCTCTTCCTCCAACACAACCTGTGAGGTGGAAGGCCTGGCCTGTGTTTCACTATATAACTTCAGTGTTATTGCTAAAAACAGCAAATGTGAGAGTCAGCCAAGCACCACGATCGACCTGCAGACAGGTAACACATTTCTGACTTTTTGAAAGAAATATGCATCTGAATTTTAAATAATGCCCAACCCTGAGTAAAACATAAATGCATACATTCTGCAGTGTCAGTAAATGAAATCTGTCTGTTCCCCCAGCTCCCTGCACCCTCTCTGGTATCACAGCGGTTGCTCAGTGCCACAATTCCTCAATCCTCGTGTTGTGGCATGCAGAGGGAAACACTGTGTACACTGCCACAGCAGAAGCCAGTGATCACACCTACCTCTCCTGCAATAATACTGGCACTAGCTGCTACCTCCATGGAGCACAGTGTGGCCTCCATTACACCATCATTGTTGCCGCTTCATCAGACCAGTGCAGCAGTCTGAGGAGTCCACCATACAGAATAAGCATGGGTATGTCGATTTCTGTTGATTTTTGTCATGCATTTCATACCATCTTTTCAAGTGCTAACTTTGAAGGACACATTTTGCTTCTTTGGTTATTGCTGAGACTTGGATGATAATATAAATACCAAATTCATATCTGTCCAGTAAATATGAATCCATCAATCTTAGCATAAAGACTGTAAACAGGTGCAAGTCACTACCATGGTTCCATCAAAAAATTACAAAATCCACCCACCATCACCACAAACACTCAATTAATAACACAATAACGTGTGACCATTTGTGATATTATGTCAAGAAGTAGTTTTCCTTTAAAACGCCTTAACATTTCTCCATAATATTAACTGTCAGTGACAAAAAACGATTTTTTATTTTTTTATCTGTAGGTATATTTATAAAATGTTTAACACACAAAACAGTTTTGTCAGGTTGTTTTGACCAACAGTAATTGGTGGTTTGATTAAAAATGACCAAAAACACACCAACTGTTTTCAGATTCTAAATCCATGCTCCTAAATCCTGATTGTTGCACCAATGTAAAAAACATCACTATTTCCCACTTTTTCACAGAGCCGTGTCCACCCAGTAACGTGGTGGTTGGGTCAACCTGTGCGGACGACAGTGCCCTGGTGTCCTGGAGCCCCTCTCTTGTAGCTGAAACATATCATGTGGTCGCAATGGGTGCAAATAGACATGTGCATACATGCAACACCACCTCTAGTAACTGCAGCATATCGGAGCTCCACTGTGGCCAGCAGTATGACATATCTGTGACTGCCAGCCACGAGAACTGCACCAGCAAAGCCAGTCAAAACGCTACACTTAACACAGGTAGTTGTCTTTACATAGATAGAGAATACCTGTGTACATTCATATGTTGACCAAATATGCCCTAAGGATATTTGTTTCAGCAGTTTTATCATATCTTTCTTTTCTGTCCAGGTCCCTGCCAGCCAGATGGTCTCTCAGTTATTTCACACTGTAACAATCAGTCCGCATTGTTGTCATGGACTCCCGGATATAACGCTGTGGACTACTATGGCTGTGCCCAGGCCGAAAATGGAGACATGCTGTACTGTGAAAGCACAAATCCCAGCTGCACCATCCAGGGCCTTGATTGTGGAACACTTTACAATTTCACTGTTCAGGCCTCAGATGGGACATGCAACAGCTCCGTCAGTGACCCAGTGCAGAGTGGAGCAGGTACAAGAGCTGGTCCAATAACTTAGAAACATTTGCACTGAAATTGATTATTACATTAAATAATCCTCTCTATCTCTTTCTTTCAGCCCCTTGTCCCCCAGACAGTGTTGATGTGGAGCTCTTTACGATGCAGAATGAAACCCAGATATTGTACTTCAACTGGACTCAGATCACCTGTAGAGACATTGAGTATTTGCTGGAGTTAAACGGAAGTCTGCTGGGAGATAGCCAGGCCCTGTTTGAGATCTCTTCCTATTGGACAAGCATGACGTACTTTGAGATTCCTCTCCCCTGCGGTTCATCCTACTGGGCTACAGTGGAGAGTAGGAACACTGGTGGTACCAGCCAACCCTCTGTGCCGCTCAGTGGTACAACAGGTAAACTTCACTTAACACTCAAGCTTCTGTTCAAACATTCTTACATCCTGGATTTCACGGCCTTTAATAACAATTACCTCAAACACGTACTTTTACTTGAGTACTTAAACTCCAGCACAGCTCAGCACATTGTTCCATATTCTACTTTAATAGAGGCGTCATTCATTGTATTAGTTACACCTCCCCTTTTCCTGCTGTGACAAGTCAAAAAGGTGATTAAACCATCATATCAACAATCTATTAAACACCTGAACTTTTTAAAGAACATCCATAAACATTCATCTGTTTGCATTTTGCAAATTATTTATCTAATATATCATTCCATTTACTTGTGTATATAGACTCTTCTTGCACTATTTCTATTCTATTCTTTATTTGTATTCTCTTGCATTATTTTATCTGTTTTATTTGTTCTATGTCCTATATATATGTTGCACTGTTGGAGGAGCCTGTGACCTACGTTTTTCATTGCCATATCTACACTGTAGCTAATGTGCAAATGACAATAAA